AGTGAGTATTACCACAAAATACAATGGGGTTACAGGGTGCAGAAGAATTACAAACAGAAACATTAATGATTAGCAGAAAGAGAAGATAATAATCAGAAGGACAGTAGATAGCGATTAACATTGCATTTAAAAACTTATTTTATTAACTTATTTTAAATATTTTAATTTTGTTTTCTTTTAAACAAACACTGTAAATAATATGGACTATTCAAGTAGTATTATAGTCTGGTATATATATATATATATATATATATATATATATATAAAGGATGTAATGGTAAGTTTAAACTCAACACCTGAAGATTGTGTTGTGCATGAAACTTGGTTGTTCTAATGTTGAAGAAAAAAAAGGTATATTTTTATATATATATATATATATATATATATATATAAAGTGGTTTATATCATTAACTGTACTAATCTACTTTTTGTATGACTGATTAATTGTAATATAAATTGAACTGCACCACATATTTGATTTAAAAGAACTGATCTGACATGCAAATTTTCAGGATAACAACTGAGACATTACTCTATTTATTGAACAATTTAGTTCATGCCACATTGACTGATAAACTCCTACAAGAAAAAAATTCTCAAATTACCATATTAGTGAAAAATGCACTTTCTTAAATTTTCAAAAAAGTTCAACCTTACTGTTGTGACTGCATGCTCCAAAAGTTTGTATCCATGAACAATAACACATTTAAAAAAAAAAACATATTTCAATTCTCATTTAATTTTTTTGTCTCTGATGCTACCTGGATTTTACTAAAAACAAAATAATTTCCATGCCTGAGGATGACTGAATGTACAGTTGAAAGTACTTGCAGATTAAAAAAAAGACATTACACAGCTTGTAGTTATTAAAAACAAGGATCATAACATTCATTGAGTGGTTTGTAGGTTAATGCAACTTTAAAATTTTGTTTGCAAAAGGATTTCACCATTTTATATCATTAACTTTACTAATCTACTTTTTGAATGAATGATTCATTGTAATATATATATATATATATATATATATATATATATATATATATATATATAAAGAAATTACTAATAAGCAACACAGATAAATCATTTGTAATAAATTTAATCCTGATGGCCTTGTGTCAAATTTGGCTAAGTCTAGAAATGCCAGAAATTAAACCAAAACTGTTTCTAATCTGTTGATCAAATCCTGACTGCATATAAGTGCATTTTATCAAAATTCTTTCGTTTTTCATTATATCAACAGACAAATTATTTTTTACATATTTGTTCTGCTGTCATATTTTACAAACAAATATTTTATTGTTTTAAAGATAAAAAATTTGTAAGACTTGTGCATTGTTATTTCAACAATGTTTACCACTCAACACAGCTCATTGTGACCTTGGTTGGGCAAGCATATTTGTTTTTTTGTAATAAGAGCAGGGGTTGCAAGAGCCTGGAGTCTCTGTCCATCGTCAAAAATTGATCAGCTCAGCCACTGTGTTGATCATGCCATAACATTGATCTTTTGACACCTGCCACATAAACTAATGCATATGCACAAGGTATATGCAGGATTATTTTTTTTAATTTTTTTTTTTTGAGTTTAAACACCTAAATCTGCAGTAGTTCGCCCTGACAATATTAATGGTGTTACCTCGAAAAGGATGTGGCTCTTCATCATGCACTGAAAATTTTCGTTTTGGAGATGTTGTTGCAAGGCTGAAATAACAAATGCATCCATAGTTCTGGGTGCATGGGGACCAGTCATGGATGCCACAGAAAGCCATCTTGGAAAAGTAGTACCCTTTGCATGACTCCTTTACCATGAGTATTCCTGTATAAAATACCTTTTTTCTAGATTTTTGCCCTGAAAGTTAGGGGTGTATTTCATACATGTGAACTATTGGGCACTTTGATGTGGTGTAATGGTTATCAACCTTGTCCCGTTAGATCTTCACCGGGCGTTCCAATATCTTAAGGCCTTGTGCCACATGTAGGTGATGCTTCGTTTTTTTTGTCTTTTTTTTTAATCGTTTCACCCCAAGCAATGTGACAAGGTCATGGGGTTACTGAGACTGAAAGAGAATGACAGGATTTTAGTGAAGGAAAGTAACAAAAATGACAATAAAGGAACAGGATTCAGGAAGACAGAAGATGACGACTGTCATTGCATTTGAATTTTTGAAGATTGTAGGTAACAAGGAAGCAAGAAATTGGAAGGGAGTTCTATACACGAGAAAAGAAACTATTTCAATAGAACGGTTGGTAGCTAGTTCAACAGTAAAACAATGAGACCTAGTTGCCAATCTAGTTGCATGCTTAAATTCATGCTGTCAAGGCACTAATGAGAACAGCTCATCAGAACAATTGCCATAAAAATATCTGTAGAAAAGTCAGAGAGAAGCCATATCAAGTCAATGTGAAAGTGACTTTAGTCGAGATGCCAGGTCAGGTTTGATTCCATACCCTTCTTTGAATCTAGAGATATATAGCTGGAGCACCAGACTTGATATGGCAACAGTATTCAATGCATAGATGAATGGTAGCTTATTAAATTGTTACTTAAAAACTAAGATAAATGTTAATATAAATAACTTTTTATCGGACACATATGTTGCCATATTTGAGACCTTATGACTGAATGTTTGTTAGATCCAAAGAATTTTTTTTTTTTATTTTTTTTTTTTTTTTTAAATCATTTCACTCCAAGAAGGCCACTGAGATGCAAGGGGTTATGGGGAGAGGAAGAAACAGAAAGGACAATAAAAGGATAGGGTTCAAGGAGACAGAAGATGACAATTGATATTATGTTTAAATTTTGGAAGATTGTAGTTGACAGGAAAGAAGGAAGCCAGAAGAGAGTTCCACAGGTGAGAAGTGTGGGGCATAGAACTTACATTTACAACTAACAATAACAAAAATTGAAATTATGAGACCTAGTTTCCGATTTAGTATTGCACTTAAATTCATGAAGTCAAAATACCAATGAGGAAAGTTTACCATAGCAATTACCATGAAAATATTTATACACAAGGCACAGGGAATCTATATTATAGCAGTGGTTAAGTGAGTGAAGCCAAGAAGCCAGGTCAGGAATGATAACATTGCTGATTCTTTTTTGGGCTTTACATGATATTTGAGATACTTAGAAAAGATCCAAATATAATTTTCTACAATTTAAAAAGAACAAAAAGCCTGTTTTTGATTGCTCATCAGAGTGAGCATGAATGCTGACCCCAGACTCAGAAAAAGCACACTCGAGTTGCCCACATTTGGATCAGTCACAAAGGTCAACCCAGCCAGAGTGCAATGGAAGTGCCTCGCTGTCATGAATCTCTCTCTCTCTCTATATATATATATATATATATATATATATATATATATATATATATATATAGCAGAAGTACCTGACCAGATGTGACAGCAATATTCGATGCATGGATGAATCGTAGACTTAACCTCGTCAGATTACAGACTTTCAACCACTTCCTAAAATCAATGGTTTTGAATGAGTAAGTCTTGGCAATGATCATCCATCTTTGAACATTATGGACTGGTGCTACAGAATCATAAAGAACTGTACCAAATAACAGAAACCACATCACTTGAAGACTACCAACAGCAGCAACAATTAAAATGGATAGCACATCTAACAAGAGAAAATAATGACATAATCAAGAAACCTGTTTTCCTATAAAATTGTTTTAAGAGAAAGATTATATAAGTTTCAATTGAAAGAACTAGTGACTCCTCAGTCAATGTCTAGCAAAAATTAAAGTGAACTTAACTTCCCTAGCAGCAGACATAGCAAATGTTTCGATATAATCCATCCACTTTATGTTAGTGGAAAACTTGTAAATAAGAAGGCACAGTAAGTTGCTCTTTGGGAGGTTAGCATCAGTTGTGTTGATGGGAAAGGCAAACAACATTCTCTAAGATGATTAAAAAAAGAACAGTTTGGTTTTGGATGTGTTAAAATTAACAAGCCCTTCCCTGCCCCAGTTAACAACTTGTTGAGGGTTGTTTTAGAAATCAGTTGTCAATTTGATTTTATTGAACTTATAAGGAGTTCAAATCACTCACCAAAAAAGGATTTTTTTTTTTGTTTGAGGCACTAAAATTAACAAGCAGATTTTAGTCTGCTTTGGTGCTATCTGTGTCAAAAATAGACATGATGAGAGATTCATCTATATTTCCAAAATAGGATGTCATCCTCATTTTTGACATTGTCATCGTCCACAGTCATCTTGTCCTTCTTCCTCGAAAAGGAGGTCATCTTCACTGCTTTCAAATGAATTTGTCATGCCGCATTTTGTCAATGACTTTGTTATGATGGCTTCCCTGTACATGTAACAGACGTTCTGTCTGTTTCAGTTTTATGCAACTACAAAGAAATAGCCACCATTGAGTGTTTGTTTATAATATTGCTTCTTCTATTGTGAGCTTAATTTCACAGCAAGCTTATTCTCATTTGATTACCAAAGTTAAGCAATATTGTGCCTGGTCAGTACTTAAATAGAGGACTATTTGAGAACACCAGGTAATGTAAGCAATGTTTTGGCTTTAAATAACCAACAAAGGGTTGCTAAGCCTTAAAAAGACAAATAAATCAATTCCTACAATCTGAAATATGTTTGGCTTTAAATAACCCACAAAGAGTTGATAAGCCATAAAAAGATGAATAAATCTGTCTATCTAAGGAAGGTTGTCTAGATTTAATGAAAAATAGATTCATGGACTTTTAAATTGTAGCATGTGTCTTGCAAAGAACCAAGGTGATGTCCTCTCAGAAAATGCGCACTCCTGATTTTGTACAAGGGTGTTCTACAATTGCAGATCCAGATATAATGGTGCACTTATGTAAATTATTTAGTTGACTTTTTCAAATGGATACTGGAACATTTTTTTGTTCTTTGATTATTGGCATCTTTATTTAAGCACAGATGATTTTGAAGCACATGTTATTTATCAGTTTGAGACAGATTATAAATAAATAATTCCAGCTGCTTTTTATAGCATATATCACCGAAGTTAAGCACCATCGAGCTTGATCAGTACATAGATGGGTGACCGCTTGGGAATACCAGATGCTGTAAGCTTGGATGTGCAGGCTGTATGATAGATTGGAACTGGAAATCTAAGAGCTGAGTTCTAATCCCAGCTGTGTTCATTATATTTATTTATGTGCAAATACCATTTGAAAAAGTATGAATCCACCTCTTCTCCTCCCAGCTATGGGTTAATTTGTAAGACTTGTATAACTAAATCATTACTATCTCTAAAAAAAAATATTATTACAATCTAAAAATATTTTGTCTTTAAATAACCTGCAACAAGTTGATAAGCTATAGAAAACAAATCAATGAAATATTGATTAGCTACACAGGCATGTCTTTGAGATTAATTTACATACTGTGGAATATAAATATATAGAAATTACCGTGACCACAAAGTGAGGGATCAGTTTATATATTTATTGTAATCTAGAATTGATACCCCACTTTATATCCGTATAATTTCTTGTTTATCAAATTCTGACAAAGTATGAATCTGACACTTCTCCCCCCCCCAGCTATGGGTTAATTATTAAGACTTGTATCAAGAAGTCATTATTATCTCAAAAAAATTCTTACAATGTAAAATATTTTCTGGATTTAAATTACCTGCAAAAGGTTGATAAGCCGTAAAAAACGAATCAATCAAACTCATTAACATGCGATATGGCTCTCAGTGCCATAAATAATAAGCTATTATTATTACACATTTTTAACTCTTCTTTTTCTATGTGCTGTGTTCCTTCAGACCATTGCTGATCATGGCTCTCCACAATTTCCTGTCTTTTATACCTTTTAAGAAATTTTAGCTTTTTGTTATTTCTTCTAAACCTGCTTCTGCCATCCACTTACTGAAGCTCACTAGGTAGGTTATGTGTAGTGTTCCTTTTTCACTCTTGCCTTCATTATGTCCTGTCAGTATTGAATTTTCCAAGCCTTCTTTCCTCATTATGTGCCCTAGAAATTTCAACTTTCTGATGTTAAGTGTAAGTTTCCTCTGTGCTTCCATTTTCTCTAAAACTTTGTTTTTACTCACATGTTTGGTCTATAGTATCTTCAATATCATTCTGTAGAACCATATTTCTGTTGCTTCATGTCTCTTCTTCATCTGTCAGGAGATTGTCCAGCATTCACTGCCATATAGGAGGAAAAATATGTACTGATAGTAGATTTCTTTAATATTCAATAAATAAATAAAGCTATTGATGCAAAATAAAGAGTTATAATTTACTTACATTTGATAATGGTAGTAATATAAGACACCCCAACATTGAATTGCAATCACATTTCTTCTTGAAGGGCTTAGACTTTCTATTACTTTTTTCTTTAATCATTTCACCCTAATAAAGCTACTAAGACCCAAAGAATATGAGAAAAAAGAAAAACATTATTAAGGAGAGAGAACAATAAAAAAACAGGAATTGACCAGACAATAGATAATGAGTGACATTGCATTTAAATTTTTGAAGATCAAATTGAACTTGAAAGCAAGAGTTCCACAAGTGAGAAGGAACTGTTAGCATAGAACTTACAGTTACATCTAGGTTACATACGTCCACACAAACCTAGAAAACATGTTTACAACAGTCTCCTTGAAAATGGCTAATGAATAGGCTGAAAGCACTAGGGACAATAATTGTTACACTTTCTACACTCTACCCAAGTCCGAAAAAAGGAAAACTGTAAGAACATTAGAAAAACTGAATAAATAACTCATTCAGTCAAACATG